CTATTATAGATCGTATAAAGTTTATAATTCAATCATAATAAGACTAAAAAGTAAAAAGAACATTAATAAGATAAGAAGTTAGATTTTCCAAACCAAAAAAAATTTAAAGATATTTATAAAAATATTTATAATAACACAAGATATGATTAAAAAAGTGATTGCTTGTGAAAAAAATTTGAAGAAGCTGAAAACAAATTTTTCCTATGATAGTATGATACATAAAATTAATATTATATCAACATCTGTTTATCATACAACTAGTTCTTCCTTTTTCTATGAATCATTAGGTAATTGTATTGATGTATTGATAATGATAATATTATTACACTTATACTTTATAGACAACATACTTTTGTACAAATTTAAATATTTTTACAAATAGAGACATTAGTAATCCAATCATTAATATTTTTATTTTTGTAATTACAGTAGAACCCGTTTAAGACGCTCTCGCTTAAGACGATTTCCCGGCTAATACGCTCATTTTTATGAGTCCCTTGATTTTGACAACGTTTAACCATTGATTATAAATAGTACATGGAATTAACTCTGGATAATACGCTCTATGTTCCCGGATGAGACGCTCGCCTTGTCAGTTATATTAATATAAAAATACATCGTATATACGTATCACTAATAATAACGATAACGAATAATGTGTACGTGTTAGTAGTACTGGTTTTCGCCGTTTTCGGACGATAAATATTGACGATTAGATACGACACCACTACACAGTACACATGGCTATTCACGTAATCGGATATGGCYCTAGTTAACAAAAGTTAGTGGTTGTATGAAGACTTCCAAAATTGAAAACTTCCTGTATTCAAAAAACATCAAAAATATGAAATGAAGGAAGATAGATGATTTTTTGAAATAAGTAATATAAAATAATATGCAATATAAATGTAATAACTCACTCAGCAAAGTAAAAAAAAACATAATAGGTACATGTTTAATATGTACAATATGTTAAAAAAATKTTTGTAAAAAAAATGTTTGTTCCCGCGTAATACGATTTCCCACTTAAGACGCTATTTTTAACTGGTCCCTTGGAGAGCGTCTTAAACGGGTTCACTGTATTTACAATATATTTACTAGGAGTTATATTAATAAATTCAAAAATGTTGTTACTGTATTTATCAGTGTTTGTATCAATAATATAATTAACCCAGTTTTCTGTGTTTAAAAGCATATTAAAATGGTTAAAATCAGTTTAAAACTTTGTCTCAGGTAGATCATCAACACAACCCTTAATATTAAAAATATTTTTAATGAAAAGCGCTATGGTACAATGATCAGTAATATTACTCTTAATTACATATGAACTGGTATCATTAATATTTCTATATTTTTTTTATAGGAATATGACCGAATGGCGGAAAATTTCCCCCCGGACATTGTCCGCCCGACTGTTTTTGGCGTAGTAGGACATTTYCCCCCCAATATATTTTCGATGCGGACATTTTCCCCCATTTTTTTTTTAAAGTTTATTATTGAATAACATAATATTATTTATTATTTAATTAAAAAATTWTTTTTTTTTGAATAAATATAATCAATTATACTATAATTAACTTTATAAATTTATACTATAAATTAGATTTTTTTTTTTCATAAACATAATAAAAATTATATAATAAAACGTAAAAAAATTATATAAGTATAAAAGTCTAAAAATTTCGACATAAAAATGATATATTTTGTAAAAAACATTTAATTTCTGATTATTTTTTATATCTAAGCACATATTTTGTAATCGTCTTTCATATTTATTTTATTTTGTAAAAAACCGTACCTGTTTTAATTAATTAATTGCCATTGAATTTAATTTTTGTAGTGCTTCAATGAACATCCAAATATTTGGATGCTGAGTTCTTACCAAAATTTTAAATTTATTATTGAAACCTTCACTTATATTATTTGTTCTACCTGTGTTTTTCTTTATAGCATTATGTACATTCCATAAATAAGGAGGAAATAATATTATTTAATATAAAAATATTATTTTTTTAAACAAAAAATAATTTCTTATTAAACAATAAATAATATAATATTATTTAATAATAAACTTTAAAGAAAATGGTGGGAAAATGTCCGCATCGAAAATATATTGGGGGGAAAATGTCCTACTAGTTACTACGCCAAAACAATCGGTGGGGGGGGAAATGTCCGGATACCAATATGACCAACACATGAGTTAGAATTATTATATATGTAATATTATTTAATATTTACCAATGCTTTTGAATTTCCCCTAAACTACTCTGGAATAATTTTAAATACTTTAGTTATAATACAATTATTTTCAGAAATGTATTTTAATAACTTGTATGTTAAATTTTGTTTTTTCAATAATTAATTTTTTAATTGTACAAAATAAATACTTTGCAAGTATTTTATATATGATCCATTGGGCAATGTGATATTATGACGTAGCGCGTAAGCACGACACATTTTAAGATGAAAACACTATTTTCATACAATAAAAAAATTTTTATTTTGTTGATTACTTCTTTAAAAAAATATTTTGAATTTCACTCAAAATTTAATTTTTAAATCTATTTATAGGGAGCTGATCCATTTGTACCCATATTTAGAGAAGCAATCCTAAATGGTAGTCCAGAAATCAAAGAGCAAGCAGCTCAAGGTTGGGGAGAAGTTGTTAAAGTAGCTGCAAAGGAGGGATTAACATCTCCTGTATTAAATATGACTGGACCTCTTATTCGTATTTTAAATGAACGCTATACGTGGAATATAAAATCAGCAATTTTAGAAACAGTTGCTTTATTATTAGCCAAGGCTGGTAGTAATTTAAAACAGTTTTTACCTCAATTGCAAACAACATTTTTGAAAGCATTACAAGATCCAAATAGACAAGTTAGGCTTAAAGCAGCCACCGCTCTAAGCCATCTGATTGTTGTACATTCTCGCACAGAAACAATTTTTGTTGACCTGCATTCTGGAGTGAAAAATTCAGAGGATATAACCATTAAGTAATTAAAACAATAATACACAATATAAAGTAACTATTAATTTATGTTTTTTTAATTTTTTTTCTTTAGAGAAACAATGCTTCAAGCTTTACGTGGTGTTATTTCACCAGCCGGTGATAAAATGTCAGATCAGGTTCGAAGAACTGTATTTATGACGTTAAGAGAAGGATTAGGGAACCCAGAAGATACAATAAGAAGTGGTACTGCTGGTTGTCTTGGTGCTTTATGTAAATGGTTGTCTCCTGAACAATTGAATGTTGCTTTAAATGATCATATTTTAAGTTAGTACATTAGTATTTTCAACTTCATTGTTTTCTTATTTTTCCATATTTAATAAAAATTTAAATTTTTCAACAGTTGATGATCCTTCACTAGATCCAATACTGAGACATGGTAGAAGTTCAGCTTTGTTTGTTGCTCTTAAAGAATCCCCAGATACAGTGTTTAGTACATTGTATAGTGATAAAGTTATAAAAACAATTTTATGTCATTTACAAGCTGATAAAGTAATGGATAATTAATTATTTAYAACTCAATTATTAATGTTACTCATATAATATTTTTAGATTTCTATTGTGATGAATGGAGTTCGAAGTTGTGGTTATTTATTTTTACATTTGATGAATATTCATTCAATAATACCATCACAGCTTTTAAGTCCATTTACCAGAGTATGTTAAAAAAAATTAAACTTTTATAACAATTTTATATTTTATACTATTTTAATAATAATTTATAGTTGATGAATCAGTCCAGTAATGAAGTTAAGCAGTTAGTGGCACATATCTGTTCATATTTAGGAAAATCTGGTGTTACTATATCTCCAGAATTTCAAAGGGCAACAATACCTATGTTAGTAAATGGAACTAAAGAAAAAAATTGTTATGTAAAATCTAATAGTGAAATAGCTTTAGTTGCTGTTCTTAAATTGCAACAAGGTGATGCAACATTGCAGGTAAATACTATTTCATTAGTGACTATATATTTTAACTAATAACCATAAAATATTAAATTTATATTTTAATAACTTAAAATGCCTTAAAATGATATTAATTATAATAAAAAGCTTAAAGATTTAATCAAATAAATTAAAGGTTAGGGCCTAATGTAGTGTAGTAGTTGACCATAGTGACTAATGGGTGTTGCGCTCAAGCATCGCCCGAAATCCCAAACTCCAGGATGGACGACCACCCAAGTTTCTTTATTAGGAATCCTTCCCCAACATTTTTGGACTTTCTAAAACTAACCGTAACTCCATTAAATGCTAATGGTCATAACATTCGATGCTCAATCAAATAAATTAAATAACAAATGTCATTAAACTAGTAACAAATAGAATTATTATTAGTAAAAATATTTATATTTTAAATGCAGCATGGACCTGAAATGGAGGTAAACAATTATGCATGATACTTATATCTTTAACTAACACTTGGCAGCAATACATTAAAATAATGATGTTATACTAATAAAATATTGTATTATCTTATATTTTAGGGTTGTTTGAATTTATTAGACACTGGTGCTCGTGAAGCATTAAACGATGTAATAAATAAAGTATTACGTAAGGTTTCAACTCAAATGGACACAAAAATTGAAGAGCTGGATGACACATTAATTGCTTGATATTGAATGTATTATAAATCAATTTGTACTTTTGAAAATAACCAAATTAATGTTAATAACTAGAATTATGTATTATGTATAAAGTTTTTGTGCTCATTATTTCAATAATTTATAAATATTTCACATATTGTTAATGGACATTAAAATGGCCAAGTTAAAATGTAACAAGTAATTACATTGCAGTTAAGATTTTGTAAATTTATTTTTATGAAATAATTAAATGTTTGATAAAGATAAGACAATGATAACTTATGGATACAACATATAAATTTTTTTAAGACGTATTACACATATCCAATAAAGATTAAATTCAAATACACCATTACATTTATTTTATTTTAATCTTCTAAATTTAAATGTGTTGAATAAGTTGAATAACATTTATATTAGTTTTATTTATAGCTGTTGTAACTATAACTTCCTTTTTTGAAACTACTATCGAATTTTCATAGAATGTATATTAAAAACATGCACAACAGTATCAAATTTTAAGATAAAGTTTCTTCATTTATTTTACTCATAAGTTATATTATTTTATCTGATATTTATATGAAATAAGATTGATAAATTGATAAATGTATGAAATCACCCTCAGATATTGTCATTCACAGGAATACTTAATGAGATATGTCATAACTAGTTTTTTGATTAAAAAGATCATTTCATAATGACAAATGTTTACACAATGCAGGTGCTTCCAACTCGAATCAAGTTACTCAATATTTTATTCATATTGTAATTCTATCATACCAAAACTAATTTTTATTTATAATTAATACAATGCTTATTTATTATAAAATAATGTAAAAGAAGTATATAATGTTATTTTATTAGTTAGTCARTTGAATTTTACTAGCTTCTTTATTTGATATCATTTCTATCAATTCCTTTTGAAGTGTTTTAGGTATTTCCAACATGTTTATGTCATCTTTATTTTTCAATATGCTTGCTAATTTTAACAAACATAGTTTTCGTAAGTCCATAGCTGGCATTTCGATCAAAACCCTTGTTCTTAGTGGTACATTGATAGGATGTTTAAATTCAAGGCGCCTATGTTCTTCAACCCAAGGTGTTGCAATGAATACCTCTCTTCCAGCAACTACCATATGACTCTTAGATGTACATTCCCTACAAATATCAAACAATAATTATGCTCATAAGATCACTAAGAAAATATAGATATTAGCAAACCTAAAAATCCATGAATGTGTAGAAAATGTATTTACATCTACAAATTTATTTGGATCTAAAATACAGTAGGTTTGTTCTTTATTATGAAAATTCATCCAATTTACTTCTATGCTATAGCAAGTATTGTTTTGAAAACGTACATACGCTGGTTGCCTTTGTGCAACGTTTAATTGATCACCCATTAAAGCCATTGTTTGTATAATATTGCACCCTATATTACATTGAAAAATAATACTTATAAAAACGTTAATTCTATAAATTTTTAAACTAGAATACACAATAAAATAGTTGTACTAGGAACAGAAAAACAAATTAAGGAATGACTGTATTGAGTTGAATTCCAACAAAACAATATGAGCTATGATTATTTTGATCATAGAAGAACCAATAAATCACATAAAAAAGTAGAAACTTATTTGTAACAGATTAACATTTAACTGGACTCTATTTTTCAAGAATTTATGATCGATATTAAAAACGTTCTGTATAGCAATTACTAATAAGCGTAGTAAGATACAAAAATCAATAACAAGCTATGATCAAATCATTTAATACATAATAATTGTCCAAGTCTTCAAGTTTAACTGAATGGATAGATCCTTATATGTGTGGCTGTATCCATGAAATATTAATAGATATGATTATATAMATAGTTMAACACTATGAATTAAACTTTAAACTATGACACAATATAGTTGTAAATTAAATTAGTCTAGTAATTTGAATTCAATCAGTTCAACGAATATAAATACTCTGTATATTAAATACACTTAAAATGTAATCAATATTTAGTATTAAAAATTAAGTACTAATCGCTACCAGAAACAAGGGACAAGACGCGACAACTACTAAAGTACTAACTAACTGGTACTTGGTAGTAATCTAGATTCTAGAATCTAGACTTAATTAGATATATATTATCTATGATTTACAAAACATACTAACATCCATGATAAATTTAATTTCGTGAAGATAACATATATGGTTTGATTGCAAATCTATTATCATCATAGATAATAACATATTTTTTACACAGACTTCTATAATCTAAGACCATGCTATAAGTCAAGGTGGATTTATAAATCCACCTTGCTATAAGTATAAAAGTCTGTGATTTTTTATAACCATATTATGATAATACAACAATATGATAATAAATTGTACGTTATCAGTCAGAATCGTTTTTACCATGGAAGTTGTATATTTTTATATTAAAATTTATCATAACCACACCATCTGTAATTCTGAATCCTGAACTTCAGAAAAACACCTAACMTTAAATTTCCTGAAGAACAAAAGACAATTTTTCACTAATTGTAAATTACTGGACAAATTTACATGAGATTGAATTAAAAAATCACATTTGTGATGTTAAGATGTTATCACTCTCTAGAGAACTTCAAAATTTCGCTTGTAAATGATAAAAAATTTTAGTACAAAATATACAAAGGCTAAGACACGAGGTAGTGTCAATTGAAGTGTTAACACTGAAAGCGAATAAATTTTTTTTTATTAAATATTCAATTATTTTCACATTAAATTGATCCGTACGTACGAATTTTAAATAAAAATTTCGTTCAGCGGTGAAGTGAAATCCAAGTACGCTGGAGTATTAAAATTAAGTTGTTGAACTAGCTGTGTTTAATCAAATGCTGGGCGACGCCATTTTCCGCGCCCGGAGAGGGGTATCTATTGCTTGGAAATAAACACAAAATGGGTTCGTTGTTTTGAATACTCAAAAATCATTTCCAACTTAAATTCTTAGTGGCAATTATGTGTGACTTGTGAATAATTCAATTCTCTGGTATCTTATTATTTCATGAAGATAAAATTTACACCGAATCTATTTTATCCACAGGTACGCCTTTTCCTGTATTGATCGGTTTTTGTTAGTTCTGATGGAAAAATATTTTTAATTAAATCATTATTATCGTTGACATACTAGAGAAATACTATTTTTTCATTCGTATTTGATTTTAAATGAGTGAAATATAATCACTAGTAAAATTGAATATTCAATTCGTATAAGAGTTGCGACAAATCATAATAGATAATGATAATATATAAAGTATTGTTTTATTGTTCATTTTGTTTCACTTATATAAGGTAATAATTAATGTTTTCGTTTAATGTTGTGAACATTCAATGTTTCATGTTTTCTCTACAATAAACTTTCCCTCCAAATTTACAAATTTATTAATTTTATTGATTTACGGTTAAATTAAAGGTTTTTTTTTATTATTATTGTTTAAGTTAAAATACTATGATATTGATAACATTTTTAATATAGTTACAAATTGTATTATTGATCAAGTCTCTAGTACTAACCACTTCTCTAGTGTTATGTTTTTCTTATTTATTGTCCAATTTATTTTGTTCCTGAATCTTATTTAATCAATAAACAGTAGGTATATTATTAGAAAAGAAAATGTTATAATTTAAAATCAATTAAATCATGTTCTTAAGTATTATTCCATCTTTAAAATACTTAGAAAAATATTTGAGTGTTCAGGATTTGGTTAGGCTAATTAATTAACTAATATATTATGTATGTAATAATATATAATGCTTTTCCATCTTAGTAGCTATGTTATGCTAATTTAATGTTTGTTTAATTTTTTCAGCTTTTCAATGAGAGTTAATGTACATTTGAAAATTAATATTAATTTATTTCCATGTTTTACATACAAAGGTAATTACTATTTAATATATAGTCTTCTTATTTTACTGAATTGTATTTGTTTATTATATAGCTTATATTAATATCATATTGCTAATAGAGATTTATGTTATTAAATAAATATAATTCTTAACTTTTTTTTTCAGATTAATTAATTTACTATCAATTATTAGTTAATAAATGTTGATTCACGAAGATGGCCATGAGAAATAATTTGAATAGCACTTTCAAAAATAGCAGTTATAAACAAGTAAAACGATCTAACGGTAAATACGGGCATTTGTCATTACATAGTGGGATTAGTAAATGTGATATTTGTGGAAAAAATTTTCAAAGAATGAAGTTATTTGACCATATCAGGGAATCTCATCATCAATATTTTTGCATGGTTTGCAAAGCTAGATTTAAGTTACATAAAGACTTGATAAGTCACATACAAGATATTCATCAATTAGTAGCTTCAGATAATCTTAACAAATCTCAAGATGTATTTTGTGATAGTGTTAATAAAAGGTACTTTGCTCATCCTCTTCTTTCTYCTCGACTTCCAATTCCGCCTACTACAAATTCTCAATTTTCAAGTAGTAGCTCTGAAGATGATGAATTACACTTAGATAACATAGATGTAATGGACGTTGTTTTGGGTACTAAAAATTGTGAACAACGTAAAGATGAAACGGAAATAAGTTTTATTATTGATGACATTATAAAATATGTTATAGATGATGTTAAAGCTGATGACCTTTTTGAAAGCACATTACAAGACTTAAGTTGTTCTGATATATCAGTAACTGATGAATTTGATAACAAAAATCTTAAAAAATTAGGTGTTTCAGAAGAAGACACTTATGATACACATCATTCTATATCTCAAACAAATCATGACAATTGCATGTCTACAAATATACATATTACTGAAAACAATGAGTTGTCAATTAAAAAATTAACCCAATCTCCAATGAATGTGGATTTAATATCTGTACAAACATTACAAAATCTTGAAGAAGAATTTAAACTTGGAATTAAAAATATGTCTACAGTTTTATCAGAAAAAAGTCCTTGGGTGAATGGACCAGATGCACTACAAAGTATTAATAACTCAACAAAGAATGATAATCTTCTTGTTATGGCTTTAACTCTTGATCATAAATTGACAGATATGAAAATAAATGTAATACTTAAAGAATGCATTAGAACTTCATGTTTAACATGTGTGTATTGTCACAATTCAACTTGTATTGCTGTCAATGGTAAACAACTAGCACTGCATATGATAGAAAAACATCGTTTTATGACTGTAAAAAATGAATCTTCTGCGGATGTTGTTAATATCTTAAAATCGAATTTGAATGCTTTAGAAAATATTTATTTAAACTCTGAAAACTATGACTCTAGTGATGATTTAAGTCATACACCATTTAACAATATTTTCTATTGTTTCAACTGTCAATTTACATCGAATCAAATGAAAGAAGTAAACTCTCATAAACGAAGTGTTCATTCAAGAAAAACTTATGACTGTATTATGTGCAAAATAACTTTTTCAAATTATGGAGAACTGCATTGTCATTTATGTCCTGGTGCAGATCTTGGTGTTTGGCAAAATGTATTGTTTAGATGCTTATTTTGTGGCCAAGGTAACATTCCATCGGCATTTCGATGTATGGTTCATTTAAGAAAAGCTCATAATGCGTGTGATTATTGTTTGGAAACATTCTCCAATCAACAAAGTTTAGCATTACATGTTAATAAGCATAAGATGAGGCATATGTGCTTGAAATGTAACATTACTTATCTTAGCAAGAAAGATATATTTGAGCATATGTTTTGGAAGCATAATAGAGACAGCAAAGAATGTAAATCATGTTTAACTAAAAAATGGCCTTATACATATCATTTCTGTGTTCCACCTGCAATGTTCACGTGTGACGAATGTAGAAGAACATTTTCTAATGCTTTATTACTAAGAGTACATGAAAGATGGCACTCTGGAAATGTCCCATATGAATGTAATACTTGTTCTAATAAATTTATTTCAAAAAAGTTACTTAAGAAACATGAACTAATTCATAAAGAAGTAATATCTCCTATAAAAAAGAAAAAAAAGAAGAAGAAAAAAGGATTTGATTATAATCTCCCTCCACTAAATCTTTCTTCTGACAGTGATACAGAGAAAACTCCTCGTCATAAACCCGAAAAATTTTTAAAATCACCAAGCCCAAGTGGTAACTATTGGGATTATGTTAGTAAACAAAAAAAAGAATTAGTCCATATTGCATTATTAGATCATGACTATACTTTATTGTCCACAACTAGTCAATCTGAAATAGTAAAATCTCCTCCATATCCAGATGAATTAGCAGCTATTGTAAATGGTAGTGAAAACATATTAAACAATTCTTTTAATATGTCAAGTCAAAGATCATCATGTTCATCACACTGTAATTCATCATCTTCTTCATCTAGTTCGTGTGGATCAAATTGTTCATGTTCTTCGTCATGTTCCTCATCATGTGACTCTGATAAAGAAGAAAAGAAAAAACCAGTAATTGAAAGCCCAAAAAAACATAAAAAGAAGAAAAAAGAAAAAAAAATCAAAGTATTAAGTGCTAAGAAAATAGCAAATTTCAATTTGTGTGCATTAGAATCTGATTTGGAAAGCGAGTTTTCAAATACAGATAATGAAGAATATTATGATATTAATCCAATCCCTTTACATCCGGAAGTAAATAATAAAGAAATAGTTCAATTGAAGCAAGAAAGTCTTATCGAAAATACTTTAACTTTACCTAAAGTTAACAGTATAGTAATACCTCCCATTACTTTACCAAATGATAACAATTTTAAATTATCAAACCCTCATCAATGTACTAACATTGAATCTCAAATATTAAATAAAAGCGAATTAATTGATGTACCCAGTAATACATTTAAAATAGCTGATTCATATGATATATATAGTAATAATTATTCATCATCCATAAATAATTTATCTCCGCCATTCAATAATTTTTTATTACCTAATGAAAATAGGGAAAGTATTGGGAATAATTTAGATAAACATTCAGTTACTATTTGCAATGGCAATAATAATTTACATAGTATAAAAAATGAATTAAACTCGAGTTTATGTCATGGTAAAAAAGTTGTACACAATTATTTTACACCTCAAAAAACAAGAAAACGTCTTCATTCTTCATCACCTACAAAACGTAAATTAAAACTAAAGTCATCAAAAGAAACTCCTCTATTATCGAAAGTAGTAGCAAGCATTCCTTCACCACTTTCTATAAACTCTTCTTATTCAACATGTTCACCTAATTTATCCGGAAGCCCTATGTCGTCAAATGATACTCGTCAGTCTAAACGACAACCAAAAAAGAGGAAATTTTTTGGTTATGAGAGTAGTGATGAAGAAAAACTACAAAATGGAGATTCATCTTTTTTGGTTCAACAATTATCCCTTCATATTCCGTCTGTGACAAAAAAGAAGCAAAAACGGAAACCTAAACCAGTATCACCTCTTCAACATCAACATTCAACTACTAAATTGACACAATCTCATCAAACAAGGCCTATTGTAGATGTTCGAATAAGTAAAATTGTTATACCCCCTGATGTTACTGACAATACAGACAGTGATTCTGGAAATTTAATAATTGAACTTCCTAAATTTGTTGAACAGAAAGCAGTTCAAAGTACAGAACGACTATATTGTCACTGTAGGTGCCCATACGATGAAGTTTCTGAAATGATTGCATGCGATAATCCTAATTGTCGTGTCGAATGGTTTCATTTTGATTGTGTTGGTATCACAGTTGCCCCAAAAGGTAATTGGTACTGTCCAGATTGTCGTTGATTAATGTTAATTCTAAAATATGTTTATATTCATTATAACCAATGTACTTTATCTTCTTTGTTACATTTTTTTTTTTTACATATTTGTTATACGTTTAACTTTGTACAAAAAAAAATATGGTATTCTTGTAAATGCATTTTTGGCTTTTTCTCATGCAAACCTGAAAATCATGTTACAAAAGAAATTGAAATAGGTATATTGACATAAATTACAATGTAATGTATTTAAACTTATACTTATGTATATTTCTTATAATTTATTCTTTTTTGTAAACTAGATATTCCTAAATTGTTGATGGATTTTTGATAAAAAAAATATTGTAATATATACAAAGGTAAATAATATGATCCTTTTTTAAAATAAATTTACCACAAGTATTCCAATAAGCTTAGTTTATACTGTTCTTAGTAATAAAACATGTACAAATACCAAAAACTCTGTAATTTTAATTTATTAAATTTGATATCATATTTTTGTTTTAAAGAAAATGATATTGTAATTAGAAAAATATTTTCCTCTATTGATAAATTCCGTGTATTTTTATTTATTTATTATTTTTTGTTAGTTTTGTATTTTCCTAATTTACTTTTAAGATAAGTTGATTTTTTCCGATTAAAACTGAACCTATTAATGTTGTGTGACTGTTAAGGACCATTTCCAAAAAGTTATAAAAAGTAATATGTATAAACCTATCAAAAAAGGCTAAAATTAAAAACTCAACTATAAATGCAATCAATTGTTTTTTCACTAAGCTAATAGACCTTAATAGTCCCGTGTTTTCCAACTATTTTTATTCCAATCCTTCCTTATAAATTTTCTTAAGAAGACGCTACAGTGCTACACCCGTATATGTTGTCTCCGTCTTACAAATGTAAAACATTGCGAAAACTGTTTTGCGCGAGAAAGAACTACTCAAGCCTCAAGCTATAATCTAAGCTAAGCAACCAAATTTTCACACTATAAAGAGAAGAATGTTTACAGTGCAACACTGATTTTTTTTCAATATCAGAACTAAAAACAAATTTATTCAAGTTTGAAAAACTCTAAAATAATGAATTCTTTTAGAATAAGAACTTTTTTCGTATTTTCATAAATATCATTATCGAAAATTAAAAACAACGTTGCACGATAAATATTCACCTCTTTATAGTGTAAAAATGTAGTTGCTTAGCTTGGATTAGAGCTTGAGTAGTTCTTTCCCGCTCAAAACGGAAACAACACKTGCGGGTGTAACGTCCTTTTAAATCTCTACCCCTTCCACTCCCCCACCACCGACCTGACAAATTCAAAATAAAATAAAAAAAGGTAAAATTTAATTTGTAGTATAAAAATCTGGGGTATTTGCATGAATTTATCGTGGTAAAAGAGTGGTGTCATAAACCGGAATAACTAAAATATTTGAAAAATAAAAAAATATCTAATTGAAGTGGAATAATTTTTCTGATATACACCTACTTGATATCAATAGGAATTAGGATGAACTTGAAAATGTCAAAAACGAGTCAAAAAARCTGATAATTAAAAAGAAGCCCCCTCCCATCAAGAAAAAATACTGAAACAAATATACAATGGTTAGGTTAGGACAAGTTTTTCAATCTTTATCACAAATAAAAAGTCCACCGAAAATTCAAATTAAATTTTTWTGAGCATTTRAAATTTAAATTTTTACAACATTGGATCTCACATTTAGCGATTTTATTATTTTGGTGTAGCTCTAAAACAAATGACCGCAAATACTTGAATTTTTCACTGAATGTTTATATATGCATTTTATATATTTTTTAAAATTTTCAAAATATTTTGATTTTTCAACTTTTTTAGTTTTTTTTTCTATAAATATCGATAAAAATTTATTTGTTCAGTAGAAAAGCTTGAAAATTTAATACAAGGCTTCTAACACATTGTAACAACAGAAGTTAAAAAATATTAAAAATTCATAGGCACGATTTTTTTTTATAAG